AACAGGAGATACTAGGGAAGTAAAGGTGTAATTAATTGTGATAATTTTCGTATTTTGATGACCTTGACAGGTATCTTTGGTGCCAAACTGCCTGTTGCATGCATACGGTACGCATTTAACAGGCAGTTTCGCATGATTTTCATTTTTTCCTAAAATATTTCAAAAAAAAAAAGGGATTTTTAACAACAAAAGAGTTTGTATTACGCGTAAGAATATTCTGAGCAAGCTAAGTGTAAGTAATATGCAGTATATGTTTTGTTATTAAAAATAAAGTATATTTCTACATTATGAATTGTGTCTGGATATGTTAAGTGGGTGCTGATGTCCTAACAGACCTACTCAGTCGGAAATTGACATCTTTAGCAAACAGAAGTGATTAGGGAAGTAAAAACAAAATTAAGTTTCACTACTTCAGCATTTTGCTTAAGTTGCTAGGGATTTACGTATTTATAGGACAAACTAATTAGAGGTTTTTAATGGTGTAATTATCCAATTCAAGCGAAAATTTAAAATTTCAGCAAGAGTGACATACTTGGAATCTAAAAACGTCATTAATTGTCATAATTTTCGCATTTTGCTGACTATGATATTTTGAAAGATTTTAACGTGTGTGTCAAAAATGGTTAGAATATTGCTGCTTGCGTGCAGTACGCAATATGCAGTACTTACTTAATTTTTTCGAAAACAAGCAACTTCTGCAGTAAATAATGTATCTGAATGAAATAATCGGTTTATTAATGTTTCAAAAGCCTAATACAAACTGGAGTTTACATCTTAAACAAACAGGAGATACTAGGGAAGTAAGGGTGTAATTAATTGTAATTATTTTCGTATTTTGATGACCTTGACAGGTATTTTGGGTGCCAAACTGCCTGTTGCATGCATACGGTACGCATTTAACAGGCAGTTTCGCATGATTTTTATATTTTCCTAAAATAATTCATCTTTAAAAAAAGGGATTTTTAACAACAAAAGACTTTATATTACGCGTGAGAATATTCTGAGCAAGCTAAGTGTAAGTGTTATGCAGTCTATGTTTTGTTATTAAAAAAAAAGAATATTTCTACATTATGAATTGTGTCTGGACATGTTAAGTGGGTGCTGATGTCCTAACAGACCTACTCAGTCGGAAATTGACATCTTTAGCAAACAGAAGTGGTTTGGGAAGTAAAAACAAAATTAAGTTTCACCACTTTCGCATTTTGCTTAAGTTGCCAGGGATTTACGTATTTATTGGACAAACTAATTAGAGGTTTTTAATGGTGTAATGGTCCAATTGAAACGAAAACAAAAAATTTCAGCAAAAGTGATATACTTAGAAATTAAAAACGTCATTTATTGTCATAATTTTCGCATTTTGCTGACCATGATATTTTGATAGATTTTAACGTGTGTGTCAAACTGTTGCCGCTTGCGTACCATACGCATAATGCAGTACTTACTTAATTTTTTCGAAAACAAGCAACTTCTGCAGTAAGTAATGTATTTGAACGTAATAATCTGTTTATTAATGTTTCAATAGCCTAATACAAACTGTAATTTACATCTTAAACAAACAGGAGATACTAGGGAAGTAAGGGTAAAATTAATTGTAATAATTTTCGTATTTTGATGACCTTGACAGGTATCTTGGGTGCCAAACTGCCTGTTGCATGCATACGGTACGCATTTAACAGGCAGTTTCGCATGATTTTTATTTTTTCCTAAAATATTTCATCGTTAAAAAAAGGAATTTTTAACAACAAAAGACTTTATATTACGCGGAAGAATATTCTGAGCAAGCTAACTGTAAGTATTATGCTGTATATGTTTTGTTATTAAAAAAAAAGAATATTTCTACATTATGAATTGTGTCTGGACATGTTAAGTGGGTGCTGATGTCCTAACAAACCCACTCAGTCGGAAATTGACATCTTTAGCAAACAGAAGTCATTAGGGAAGTAAAAACAAAATTAAGTTTCATTACTTTCGCATTTTGCTTAAGTTGCCAGGGATTTACGTATTTATTGGACAAACTAATTAGAGGTTTTTAATGGTGTAATGGTCCAATTCAAACGAAAACAAAAAATTTCAGCAAAAGTGATATACTTAGAAATTAAAAACGTCATTTATTGTCATAATTTTCGCATTTTGCTGACCATGATATTTTGATAGATTTTAACGTGTGTGTCAAACTGTTGCCGCTTGCGTACCATACGCATAATGCAGTACTTAATTAATTTTTTCGAAAACAAGCAACTTCTGCAGTAAGTAATGTATTTGAACGTAATAATCGGTTTATTAATGTTTCAATAGCCTAATACAAACTGTAATTTACATCTTAAACAAACAGGAGATACTAGGGAAGTAAGGGTGTAATTAATTGGAATAATTTTCGTATTTTGATGACGTTGACAGGTATCTTTGGTGCTAAACTGCCTGTTGCATGCATACGGTACGTATTTAACATGCAGTTTCGCATGTTTTTTTTCCTATAATATTTCATCATCAAAAAAAGGGATTTTTAACAACAAAAGGCTTCATATTACGCATAAGAATATTCTGAGCAAGTTAAATGTAAGTAGTCTGCAGAATGTGTTTAAAAAAAAAAGAATATTTCCACTTTATGAATTGTGTCTGGACATGTTAAGTGGGTGCTGATGTCCTAACAGACCCACTCAGTCGGAAATTGACATCTTTAGCAAACAGAAGTGATTAGGGAAGTAAAAACAAAATTAAGTTTCACTACTTTAGCATTTTGCTTAAATTGCCAGGGATTTACGTATTTATTGGACAAACTAATTAGAGGTTTTTAATGGTGTAATGGACCAATTCAAGCGAAAATTTAAAATTTCAGCAAGAGTGGCATACTTGGAAACTAAAAACGTCATTAATTGTCATAATTTTCGCATTTTGCTGACACTGTCAGGTAAATAAGTTTGTGCCAAAATGCCTGTTGCATGCATACGGTACGTATTTAACAGGCAGTTTCGCATGATTTGTATTTTTCCACAAAACTGTAAATCTAAGAAAAGCGGTTTTCTCTACTTTTACGTTTTCTCTACCTTCCGTGACACCTACAGTACGAAGGTGTCCCGTTTCTGTCTGTCTGGCCGTCTGTCTGTACATCTGTCTGCGGTCCCGGATTTTTATGAATTATGATACAGATAATCTACGAGCCACCGATTGTTGTCAAATTTTGTATTTATATTAGGAATATCTTGTAGGTAATATCAATTCCCGCTTGAATTGGGCTATTGGAACATCGAAAACCATTAGCACACCCAGATACAATCTATCCCATAGAAATTCCTAGTTTTTTAAGCAAATACAGTATAATCAGCGTGCTTAGAATATTCTTATGAATAACATAGAGTGTTTTGTTCTTAAAAATCACTTCCTTTTTGATTTAAAATTTTGGGGGAAAATAAATGTCATGCGAAACTCCCTGTTAAATGCGTACCGAACGCATACAACAGGTAGTTTGGCACACACTTTAGTCCCGGTCACTGTTAGCAAAATGCGAAATAAAGACAACAAATAATGCCTTTACTTCCCTAGTATTTTCTATTTGTTAAAGGTTTCAATTTCCGCTTGACTTGGGCTATTGGAACATCTAAAACCACTTTGAATTTCCAGATACAAACAATTGTGTCGAAATGTTTTATTTTTTAAAAAAGTAATTCTAAGGGTGACGTACTTAGAATATTCTTATACGTAACACAAATCCTTTTGTTTTTTGGATTTACAATTTTGTTGAAACTTACCGCAAACTTTATTAATTATAACATTTTAAATATAAATGCCAAAGTGCCTTTTAAATATAATTAAATTTTTTTGGCCATCTATCGTCGAGGGGCTGAACTATGCCGTATTTTCCTTATGTGCGAAACTGACTAGTTTATGAGTTTGGTCTACTACAGTGTTGCCATAGTGTGCCGACCGTGCCAAAGTTCCGGGATTACATACATATATATATATATATATATATATATATATATATGTTGAAATCGATTGTTGTATGTTATTAAACATTAGAATAAACTGCATTTTTTAGAATTTTTAAATAGATTGATTTTTATTTTTTTATGACTAGAAAAAAAAAACAATAATAATGTTCGTAAAAATGTATTAAGCAAGGGGTTTTCGACAGCAGCAGTCTGAAGAACTGAACAAAATTCGATAACTGTATCCTCTTTCTTTTAATTTCATCATTAACATCTATATCTATACTTCTATACTTATATTATAAAGCTGAAATGTTTGTTTGGTTGAACGCGCTAATCTCAGAAACTATTCGTTCGAATTCAAAAAATCTTTTTGTGTTGGATAGTCCATTTATCCTATATACATATAGGTTATATAACATCACACTACGATCAATAGGAGCGAAGTAGCAATGAAAAATTGGGAAAAACGGGAAAATTATTCCTCCTTTGACAGTTCCCGTTGTTTACGCTGCTTAAATGGTTAAAGTTACGTAAAAATCATGTATGATGAAATTGTTCCCCGCTAAAAGTTCTAAAGAAAAGTCCACGACAGCATATGTCTATCTTTCAAGGTCGACTCAATATAACATTTTTTATGGTAATGAAAATATATTATATAAAATTCTCGCGTCACAGTGTTTGTAACCAAACTCCTCCGAAATGGGTTGACCGATTTGTATTTGTATTGTAAACTATTTTTTATACCCCTAAGTGATAAGAGTGGCCCAAGTTGATACACTATAGTTATCACTAACAACAAAAATTAATTTAGGAAGATTGTTTTTGCTTTCAACCCCACCATGAAAAGTTCTCTCCTTAGCAATTTTTCAATATGTGAGCGAACTTTCACACATAGGGTTAGAATTAAGTAAATAGCATTTTAGTAGTGATTGCTACTTGATCTCTTGTTTGCTTTATTTGATTTTACTTTATTGCTACTTGCGTTAATAAATCTGAATCTGCGTGTTGAAAAATGGAAAAATATTCATACATTAGAAGTTATGGACAAAACATTAAATTAGCGATTATCAGGTTTTGGAGTTTCCATATCATGAAGGTCTTTCTCTTGATAACACCAGCTTATCAGATATGCTAACCCCACCTTTAGAATATCGTATGTAAGGAACAGCGTTACAAAAATTGATGATTATTGTAATACGGATGATTTAAAAGTTTACAGAAATAATGTAATACTTTCATTGTAAACAGATTTTATAAAAGTGTTTGTGATTATAAATTTCAAAAATAAGTGAACGTCCTGACGCGTAAGTTGAAAATTACAGTTAGAATTTTAGAATTTACCACGTACGCATATTTTTTATTTGCATGAATTTATTGTAACTTGCATTGCTTCTATCATTGAAATTGTATAGTGTTATTCTCGTGAGAATTGGTCATTTTTCACTCTCTCACTTTTTTTTTTGAACATTTGACGTGGATATATAGTTAAACATGGCGACTTGATTACAATATTTTTCCTTTTCTTATCGCTTTCGGTTTGACACACAAGGCCGCCTAATTTTTTTTGTTTTCATGGAACCCCTAGAAAATTTAGATTTTGGAACTAAATAGGCAGAAAAAAGTCAAAAATAAGTAGATTGAAAATGCAAAAAAGACACTCATGATCAAAAAGAGACAAATAGGCAAAAACAAGTACAGCTCAAATAAGAGAATTTTCCCAAATATATATTGCTGATTATTGTAATACGGATGACTTAAAAGTTTACAGTTATGTTATAAAGTAATACTTCAATTGTAAACATATTTTATAAAAGTTTTTTGTGATTATAAGTTTAAAAAATAAGTTAACTTCCTGACGGGTAAGTTGAAAATTACAGTCAGAATTTACCATCTATCTACACGTATTTTTTATTGTACATAATATTAATCATTAACGAATTTATCATAACTTGCATTGCTTCTACACTTCAGACCTAAAATTTGCATTTCTACCCCTGGTAAATCTCCAAATTTCCAATGTTCCAATGGTACTTCTTATAAATAAATAGTGAATTTTAGACTAAAAAAACAAAATAGGCTATAACAATTGTGGATTTAGACCTGCAAATGGAGAGTTTTAGGGAAAAGTATAGTGTTATACTCGTGAGAATTAGTTATTTTTCACTCGCCTTCAGCTCGTTTCGTAAATAAATTTTCATCTTTTGAAACATTTTCTCACTCATGTAATAATATACTATTACCTAACGTCTGGTTCTCTTTCAGATCTATACAGGGTTAATACGTACGAAGTCCCGGAACGATTGAATAAGTTTTTATTTTTTGTTTTTTGTTTTAATGGAACCCCTAGAAAATTAAAATTCTGGAACAAAATAGGCAGAAAATAGTCAAAAATAAATTGGCTGAAAAAATGCAAATAAGGCACTCATGATCAAAAATAGACAAATAGGCAAAAACAAGAGGGGCTCAAATAAAAGAATTTTCTCAGATATACATTTATATGCAACTTGTATACGTTTGCCTGCAACCAAAATGAAAAGGCTCTAGAGTAAACTCTTTACAGTTACTTGATGCTCTGTAAATATGTTAAATTTAACAACAATGTTTCTTTGTACAGCTACAGTTAGACATATGACAGGAATGCCACTACTCAAAGACAAAAGCTGAATTTTGCAACAGTTTTTAAGTATATGTGCTGTCGAAAGTTGACAGTAGTGGCTACAATCCTGTCATCAATTTTGTTAGTGTAAAATAAATGCAAGGTAAAAACCAATTTTTTTTTAATTTTAACTATATGGGCATGTACTGCTTAAAAATTACATTAAATGTTTGGCAGTAGGTGTTAGAATAATTTATATTTTAAATTTGAATTTGATAGTGGAGACTCATAAAAGTTTTTTTTAAAGATGACACTATCGTTCTAGGCTTACGAATTTTAACTGTCAAAGTAGCGAATTATTGTCCGAAAGAACACTTTTTCCCTCTCTCGAAAAATAATACGCTAATATAATAGTTTCCAGCCTTTAGTTTTATTTTCTCGAAAACTGACACATACACTATTATCAGTGTTCTGACAGCGAGCGATGTATTTGTAATTGGTAGTTATAATTTTGATTTTTTTTCAGCAAACACAATCAACGTCATCATGGACTTGAGTTCCGAAGAAGAAGAAATTATAAAATTAGAAAAAGAAATGATAAAATTAGAAGAAAATTTAAAACGGAGAAAAGAACATAGAAAACTAAGAAAACATTTAGAAAAGATGAATACTTCGCACTCTGAAGTGAATGTATCTTCCTCAAAAAAGGTATTGTACTTTTGGCCAGCAAAGGACAAATGTTTATACATATAGAGTTATTACAATTAAAAAAAAAATCGTGGGCAAGGGAAGTCCTGTCGAAATAACTTTTTGAATTTGTATTCAATAAAACAAATACAAGAGTATGCTATTTTATAAAATTTATAAAAAACATTTATGAGATGTCATGACATTGATAGGCATATGGACTCGATTACAATACTTTCTTTGCTTGCGCTCAGGAAGTAAAAATAAAATTCGCAAAATAATTACAAACTTTTGTTCTAGAAAAGATTTATGGGAATTTTTGTCTGCAGATAAAGCTTACAAATGCATTATGGAGATTAAAAAGCAAACGAATGTTGTAAGACCGGATCAAGATAACATAAATTTGATGTGTTTATTCGTACTTTTAATGAAAATTTGTCATTAAATAGCGGCACTATCTTAAGCAAGTGTACTCCTTGTTTATTTGTTCTTATCTGGGTCTTATTTCCCAGGAAAAATTAATCCGTTTCGAAATTTATTTTCGTCAAACTACTTAATATTTTATTTTTTCGTACTCTAGGGGTCATATCTAAAATGTACAAAATATGATGAGTCTGTACTCGTGATTTATCATTCCATTCATATTTTTTTACATTTGCTTAAACAGATGGCTCAAAAGAGTTAATGAATGAGCCAATTTGTTTTATTGATTAAATCAGGAATAGTCATGTCCATTTTCCCGAAAATTTGGAGATACAACACTGTAATTATTAGTATTACATTGCACCAACCCAATTTGATACTCAAAATTTGGTAAAGTAGAAACTCGTTTGAAATATAGGCGTAGCACCTTTATTTACATTTACTTTAACATTACAGACGTGCATTTGTTTTGTTGCTTTGACTAGATTCCGTGAAGGTGGTATAGACAAGTTATAATCAACCAATTGTGAATTACACCATCAAAAATGAAGATAATATTCTAATGTTTTATATAATAAGCAGAAGTCGAAGCAACAGCATTGTTTGCAGTTTCTCTGTTTCACTCTCACGTATACAGACTCAACAAGTGTTACCGCTTGTTGTCTAAAGTTAAGAATGCTTATACATAAATGATTTTCAGTCGCGTCTGCTAATACACGCGGCATACGTGAGTAACTGTTTCGTTATTTTATCGATTTGTAAATCAATAGTACTTTATTTTTAGTATTACACTACATCTACCCATCTTGGCATTTTTCAAAACAACTAGTTTTAAGAAGGTGGAACCTTCTTTTTTTTCTGTTACACTGTGATTAGTACTTTCTATATTGTTTTTACTCTATAGTGATTACCACGTAGAAATAACATTCCACAAATATTAGACTACTGCTGTCTTTATAGACCCAAAGCGCTCTGTCATTAACAATTTAGGCATGTTAATTTACATTGTCTTCCCAAAAAATTGTTTAACATATGTATTTATTAATAAATAAATAAATAAATAAATAACTAAACAAACAAATAAGTAAATAAATAAATAAATAAATAAATAAATAAATAAATAAATAAATAAAGAAATGTCATTAATTAAATATTTTGTTAGCCGACAGATCGAATCCAAACAGAAGATACTTCAAACAAACAAGCATTTGCATTTCGGAATAATGAGCAAATTAAAGAAAGTACCCAAGAAAATACACGTCAAAAAGAGCGGATTCGTAAAGAAAAGGATGGAAAATTAAATGAAGATTTTTCGAAAGAGGTGAGTTTGTTTATCAAAATATATGATATTTATTTTGGTTTTTAAATTTGTGGGACATATATATTACAGTTTGAACATACCAACTATTTAATGAAGCAAAATGAAATAAAGAATGCATTTGGACGTTTTGATGAATCGATAATGTCTTTGAATTTAGTCGATATTAATAGTTAATGTTTGAAGCAAATTTTTGCGTTGGCAATTCTGAATTATTGGCAAAAAACGCTAGTACCTCAGTTTACAGTTGTCAATTTTGACATGACTATGCGTAACAAATGTGTTGATTGGTTAAGACGATGGCAGCTGCTATATATGTTACTTTGAAAATCAGTTTTGCCATGATAAAATTTTAAATAGGTTGCCAACCTGTTTAAAAAAATCACATTCATTAATAGTCACCCGGTAGTTATTAATGTATGTACGAAGGATGAAAAACTGAGTATTATGCAGTCTGCAGTTTGGTAGTCGAGGCCTGGCCGAGTACAGCAAACAGACGAAATTATAACAGGCACTTTTTTACAGAGGTCCAGATTACATTTCCCTATGATCTCCTAGGTTTTAGAAAATTAAAAATCGATAAAACACAAGCTTTTTAAGTGCTAGAATTCTTTATTTTAATCATAAAACTAAATTCAAAGTTAGCCTCGAGAATTAATGTTAATTGTGGAATTAGTTTATATTAATTCCTCCTGTCGAATTGGACGTAAGGGACAAATTCTGATTTCTTGTCCTAGGCTTATAAGCAGCATTATTTCCAATTCTAACCTGTTGAAGTGCTCTTGATTTTTTTACCTCATGTTCTTAACAACATTTCATGACAGTTTTATATTGGTTTACTGCAATTCTGGGGCTGCGTCACCATTTTGTTAAATTTTTGTGAGTGTTTTTTGTTGATCATCAATATCACACATGCACATACCTACTAGCTGACAGACTACATTAGAAAAATAATTAAAAATGAACCATAACAGAGAATACGTATTATCTACTTCATAGGTCTATATCTTAAAAAGAATTACAGTTTTTCTCGATTTATTCGCGTTGTTGATTCTGTTTCAGACTTTCGAAAAACGGGGAGGAACCACCGACAAGGGCAAAAAATACGAAGATTTAGTTACCGCTAACGTCGCACTACAATTAGTAAGCGACAGTACAATAAATGACTTTCGCATTTCTTCGAACGATAAAAATTTTGGTGATTTTGATGACATAGTTATTGAACTTAAGACTGATAAGGGAATTAAAACAAAAGCACTGCAATTAAAACACAGTAACGAAAAAAGACAATTATATATAAAGCAGCTAGCAGGCGAAAAGGGAGACTTTAGTTTAATCAAATATTTCAAATCTGCTCAAGAGGTTCAAGGCGAAGTGCAGGAATTTATATTATTCACCACAAATACTTTCAAAACTTCAGAAGAAACAAAATTTAGACTAGAAGGAAAACAGTTTTACCTGAAGGTGATTAAAAAGACAGTTTCAGGAGACGATTTCGACGCTTTAAGAATTTCTGAAAATATAAATTATTATCATACATTTCAAATCGTCGAGGACGAATGGACTAAACAAAATCCTGAAAAAATTCAGCAGTATCAAAAATTCTTCGAGTGTTTTCGTCTTTACACAACCCAAGAACGTTTTGAAGCTCTTACAAAATCAACAATGAATAAATTTACTGAGATGTTTTGCTCTAACGAAGAAACTTTCAAGAAGTACGTCGACGTCATATCAGAATGGAGTATGCGAGATGGAAGAAAAGAAAAGCTAAGCAAAAGAATGATGCAACGTGTTATCGCACTTCGATTGCTTTCTTCTCAGATCGAACCGTTTGTTTTTGGTTCCGTCACAGACGAAATGAAAATACTTCGAGAGGCTATTTGTCTGTTCGACATTACGTTGTTGGAAAAGAGAGGTAGCAACGCAGTTAAAAATTTGTGGGGAGACTTGGACCGAAACATTGACCTCAAAGAATTAAACAAAGTTCGATTACTTTATTCCCTTTCTTTTGATTATGTAAGTAGTGTTGAAAATCTGGATGCAAATTTGTTAACACAGTTGCTATGGCTGATGGAGAAATGTCCGCTTATTGTAAAGGAACACGACAATATGGAAAAAGCTATTAAATTCTGTCCAGATGCAAAATATATTATACTTGGCGAGGGAAAATATGAAGAATGGATGACAGAACACTCTGTATTTCAAAACTTGTTCAACTTGGAACCAGAAGTCGAACTGTATGAAAAAGTATTGCGAAAATTCACCATTTCTATACAAGGCAAAGAACCACGTAATTTGGTGACTGCTTTCGAAAAAAATGAAGAAATTTTCAAGCATGTTACTGCGGAAAAACTTTTAGAGATGGCAAATGGTACATACCATATAGATGGACAAAAGGAAGCTTTTCCTAATTTTTATATCGACAGGTATTTGTCAGTCAATATTATAAACACAGAATACTTCGAAGATGTTGATCGAAATACTGTTATCATTTTAAATTGCGAAGGTAATTGCCAGAAATTGAAAATATCTAAAAAGCATACTCTAACAGACATCGAGGGTTTTTTAAGTAATACAGATCCCAAAATTTTTAATATTCCAATTTTTATAAGGAGTGAAAAAAAATGCAGTGATTCTGATTTTCAGAAAATATGTTCTAAAGGAGCAGCATCCCACACTGTACACTATTTTAAATTTGTCAACGATCAAAATTTAGAATGGATCCGAAGCAAAGGCTCTGTTAATGAACTACGCAATTATAAATTACCTAGTCGTTCTAAAAACGAAAACGAAATTTGGTCTTCCGAATTTAGCAACAACATAAATCTAATAACAGCTGACCCAGGAATGGGCAAAACCGAGTTAACGAAGAATCTAAAAAACAACTGTTGTGCGAGATATTGGACCGTGATTCTGGGTGCTCAAGATGTTATGTTTTTCTTTAAAAATTCAGGAAAAGATGGAATATCAGCAGATTTAAAACTATTCGAAACATTTATTTTAAACGAAAAATATCGACCCCTGGCTGGGCTAGATCGAGAATACTTGACGCTGTGCTTAAAGCAACGCTCTGCGGTTTTTGTATGGGACGCTCTTGATGAAATATTTACTCAGTATTTAAATGGGACTTTAGATCTCATTCTAATGTTATCGCAGAAAGGTTTCACTCAGTGGGTTACTGCAAGACAACATTTGAAGTCTTCTCTTGAAGAAAAACTTGACACTCTATCAGTTAGTATCAATCAGCTCAGCGAAGTCGAGCAAGAAGATTATATTAAGAAACGTCTTAACAGTTTTATTGCGTCTGTAGATATGAAACTCACCATCGACAAAATTAAATCCACGTTTGCACTTATAAAACATATAGATATGTTGGGAATCCCTCTTCAAATTTTTATGCTGACAGACGTATTATTTAAAAATAAGGGAAAATATTTAGAGTTATTAAACAATAAATTTCTCCTGACTGACATGTATCGTTATTTCTTTGAAGGAAAATTTAAGTTTTTCTATGGAGATAAAGTGCCCGTAAACAATGTTTTTTGGGAAGAAGATGTGAGGAAAAAAAAGGAAGAGAAATTAAAGCAGTATGAAAAGTTGGTGCTTGCAGTAATATTTCCTGAAGATATTTTAGAACAATTAAAGATAGATTGTTCGCAAGATATAGATTCTGTTTCTGAAGATTTCGCGACTGTCGGTATCGTGACTGGAGTACAAAACGGCATTCCGCAGTTTGCACATGCTTCCTTTGCCGAATATTTTGTGGCTTTATATTTTTCTAAAAATTTTGAATTGGTACGCAAGGACATATTTTTTGATGAAAAGTATGGTAATGTACGTTTCTTTTTCGACATGTTAAGTGGCAAAAATTCACCGGTCCACATGGCGATTTTATATAGAAATTTTGATGAAGTGGAGAACTTTGACGACGAAATAATAAAACGTAAAGATAAATGTGGAAGAAGTGCCTTACATCTCATTTGTTCTTGGGGACGAAGATATGGGCGTTTAAATGTACAAACCGAATCTGGGGGTTATGTTATTCAGGCAAATAGGGAGATTATGAGTAGTTCACTAGAAACGAAAGAATATTTTAAAGCGTTATTGTTTTTGTTAGATAAATGTGAAATATTAGAGCAAGATTTTTTACATAAAATCACACCCTTAGCATGGGCACGAGAAAGTGAAAGTTTGGGAGCGGAACTGGAATTATTGCAATCACGCGAATTACAACTAAAAGATTCGTATAGTCGAACAGACAAAATTAATATTTTATTTTTTGTCGCCTTGCACGGTTACGCAAAAGCGTTTAACATTGTTGTTAACAAACAATTATTTTCATCTTGGAGTCTTCTTAATAAAGAAGTTAATTGTACTGTTAAATTCGATCGTAGTACGCCTCTTATAATAGCTTCTCGAGAGGGGCACGTAACAGTTGTAAAGTACTTACTCAAATGCGAAGCTAAAATCAATCGCGCTAATAAAGATGGACGGACACCGCTTTACGTAGCTTCCTCTCAAGGTCACGAAAAAATTGTCGAATGCCTGGTGAAGTGCGGAGCCGAAATCAATCGCGCTGATGATCTTTTTGGTGAGACACCGCTTTACGCAGCTTCCTGTCGAGGTCACGAAAAAATTGTCGAATGCCTGGTGAAATGCGGAGCCGAAATCAATGGCGCTGATAAAAGTGGTAAGACACCGCTTTACGTAGCTTCCTCTCAAGGTCACGAAAAAATTCTCGAATGCTTGGTGAAATCGGAAGCCGAAATCAATCACGCTGATAACACTGGTTGGACACCGCTTCACGTAGCTTCCTCTCAAGGTCACGAAAAAATTGTCGAACGCCTTGTGAAATGCGGAGCCGATATCAATCGCGCTAATATTAATGGTTCGACACCGCTTTACGCAGCTTCCTCTCAAGGTCACCAAAAAATTGTCGAATGCCTGGTGAAATGCGGAGCCCAAATCAATCACACTAATAATAACGATGAAACACCGCTTTACGCAGCTTCCTCTCGAGGTCACGAAAAAATTGTCGAATGCCTGGTGAAATGCGGAGCCGAAATCAATCGCGCTGATCAGTATGGTCAGACACCACTTGACGCAGCTTCCTTGGAAGGTCACGAAAAAGTTGTCGAATGCCTGGTGAAATGCGGAGCCGAAATCAATGGCGCTGATAAAAGTGGTATGACACCGCTTTACGTAGCTTCCTCTCAAGGTCACGAAAAAATTGTCGAATGCCTGGTGAAATGCGGAGCCGAAATCAATCGCGCTAATAAACGTGGATGGACACCGCTTTACGCAGCTTCCTGGAAAGGCTACGAAAAAATTGTCGAATGCCTGGTGAAATGCGGAGCCGAAATCAATGGCGCTGATAAAAGTGGTATGACACCGCTTTACGTAGCTTCCTCTCAAGGTCACGAAAAAATTGTCGAATGCCTGGTGAAATGCAGAGCCGAAATCAACCGCGCTAATGCATGTGACTGGACACCGCTTCACGTAGCTTCCTTTCAAGGTCACGAAAAAATTGTCGAATGCCTGTTGAAATGCGGAGCCGAAATCAATCGCACTGATAATTATTATGGTCACACACCGCTTTACGCAGCTTCCTCTCGAGGTCACGAAAAAATTGTCGAATGCCTGGTGAAATGCGGAGCAAAAATTAATCCAGCAAATATATATGAGAACACATTGCTGCACGAAACTTGCTTTCGAGGTCACGAAAAAATTGTCGAATGCCTGGTGAAATGCGGAGCCGAAATCAATCGCGCTGATTTCTATGGAGAGACACCGCTTCACACAGCTTCCTCTCGAGGTCACGAAAAAGTTGTCGAATGCCTGTTGAAATGCGGAGCCGAAATCAATCGCGCTGATAATTTTGGACAGACACCGCTTTACGCAGCTTGCTGGAAAGGCTACGAAAAAATTGTCGAATGCCTGGTGAAATGCGGAGCCGAAATCAATGGCGCTGATAAAAGTGGTAAGACACCGCTTAAGGTAGCTTCCTCTCAAGGCCACGGAAAAATTGTTGAATGCCTGCTAAAATTCGGAGCCGAAATCAATCGCCCTAATGCATAGGGTTGGACACCGCTTCACGTAGTTTCCTCTCAAGGTCACGAAAAAATTGTCGAGTGACTGGTGAAATGCGGAGCCGAAATCAATAGCGCTGATATTTATGGTTTGACACCGCTTTACGCAGCTTCCTCGAGTGGTCACAAAATATTGCCGAATACCTAGTAAAATGTGGAGAAGAAACCTTTCCATTATTAAAATGAATAATGAAGGTTGAACTCGAATAGTGACAAAAAATCTGTCGAATGCTTAATTCAACGGCGATCCAAAACTCCTCCCCGTCGGGCCAAACTTTCAATATTCAATTACCATCCACGCCGATCACATTTTTTTTTATTATTATTTTGTTGATCAAATCAGGGACGGTTCATTCTATCATTCCCTAAATTTGAGAATGCGGTACTGTTGTTATTTGGATTTTGCTATACCTATCAGGAGCAGCTGGTGCCGGATCGCACAAGGGCACGTACCCCCTCCAAAATTACAACGTCTACAAATACACTGTACATAGCAAAATAGTAATTTTCAATATTTAAAAAATTATCCGGTAATTTGTGTCATAACTCCTAATTTTTTCATCTCGCTCCACTTGTATAAAATGGATCAAAACTTAGATCCACTTACATCTAAAGATGTGTGTCTTGGATATATGATATGTTATTGCTGATAAAAGCCGAGCACAGAAACCGAATCATAAACGTTTTATTTACACCGTTGCCATGGAAATCACACGTCCTAGCCATTTGATTGAATGGGACCGCGTTCCCTTTCTGACAGTGGTCGGCAGAAGTAACTCATTCGCCTCTATTAATAACATTCGGACACATAACGCAAGAGTAGACAAAAATCGCCATATATTACGCCGATTAATAATGTGCATAAAATCTTGTCGAGTGTTTGAACTTGCGTTACGTGGACATGACGAAAGTAGAGAACCACAAAATCCAGGTATATTTCGAGGTCTGACTGATTTTACGGCTGAACTGGACTCTGCTTTATCAGGTCATTTCAAAGAAGCAACAGTTTTTAAACGAACGTCTAAAACTTCTATAATGCATCCATATTCCAAATTCATCAGTAAAAAAAAAGGACTGGTGAAAGTACTTAATAGCTCTGCCTATGGTAGATAAGCTCATTTCTTCTTGAGGATTTTCCATTAACAATTGAATTTTAATTTCCTTAGGAGTTAAACACAGCCTTCATCAACCCAACGAAATTGTTTTGTCAAAAAAAAAACAAAGCAAAATAATTTGGGAAACATAGCGCACCATTTAATAAAAGTAGCAAATAGATTTGATAATTAGTGGAACTCAATTGACGAAAGACGAAAATCAAAAGAAAACCACTATTTTATGATGGACACCTTTGTATAAGTACATACTTTTATCTTTCATCGGTCTTCAGATATTGTGAAAATTGGCACTGTGTTTATTAATTTATTTATTTAGCTATTCTTATATTTAAACTTATTTTTGAAATTCACACAATTTTCACATCTGTGGAAAATATAGACACAAGCTAAATAATTTGATATGGCGACTTTTGTTACAAATATTTTCTTCATAGTTTTTCTGAAGTATGATTTTCGGATTCTTAACTTTCACCAAATTTTTTTTGTTCTAATGACACAAATTTTGAACTTTGATACATTTTTTTGATAATGTTCCAAATTTTAACTATTTCCATAAATGCAAACTTGATCAGTCACTTTTTTACCAAAATTTTTCAACTATATTTTCACCAAACTGAGCGTAGCTTCAACTTTTACTTTAGGTGAGTCATCATCTAAATATATTTGGCGTTATCTAATAAGAAATTTCAGTACACATTTTTTCGTGAGGCCTTCACAACAATACAAAACGAGCTGCTGCACAAACTGGTGTACGTATTACTATCCAAATTGAAAAGAACAAACAAAACACGTATATTAAGGTAAGTAAAAATATTTTGAAAAAAACTTTATAAATTTGGTTTAACTATTCAGAACAGGTGTTTCCATAATTTAAAAAAAAAATGGAACCAAAACTTCTGTTATGCGTCAAGAACTCTTGGAAGAATGTTTTGAAAAATACTTCCACTTCAAACTGGATTGTGGAAAACTAGTTTAAAGGAGGTAAATTTTGCGAACAAAGTAGGTACTTATTTTTAATTATAACATTTTGCGATGTAGGCTTTTCATCACGTTTCTAACCTTAAGTTTTAAGAAATGGATACCGCTAACTGATCTGGAAGATGTCAACATAAGAGTGTTTTAAAGTAACTTAAAACATTAGTATTTCACAATATCACAAAATATTTAAAATTGCAGTAAAACATACGCTAAACCAATTTCAAACCAGAGAATTTAGGCGAAATTCCTGCACCATCAGTAGGAGCTACAATTGTCATCGTAGTAGCTACAAATTGTCCATATATTTCGAAATCACCGCACAGAAAACAGTATGGTTGCAATAGAAAATCCTCTTAATCAGAGTCATATTATTTGTATGGCCAAATCTTTCACAGGTAACACCATTTAACATATTTCAATCAGAGAACACTTTGATTTAGATAATTTTCCATCGCACAATTAATTTTAGTTCTAATAGTTTAATAATAATTTTATAATTTGTAAGTGGTGTTGTAAATGGTTGTTTCAATGAGTAATTTATTTCCTCTGTGTGTGTCTCGTACTTTGTAACAAAAATTTTTGTCAGAATCGCTCAACGGATGCAGCATTCATGTTAAACATCGAAGCATGAACAACCCGCGCTAAAACCCACGTGATGCTACTAAGATATCAGGATGCGTTTCGTCTAACAAATGGCAACGCTAAATTCGTTGTTCACGAATTCAAGACGCATTTTTAGATTTGCATCTGTTCGGCGCTTCGAGTACAAAATATTTAAAAATTTTTAAATGTGAAGTGCCATGATACCTTTTAACTACTTATACTCAGAATTAGCAAGAAACGATGTCAAGGCTGTTTTCCATCGTCGAATATTCTTCTCACTATGCATCCACTCAGGCTACATAACTAAAATCAACATTTTGTAACAAGCCGTAGTTCTCTTCGAGCGTAGAAGTGGCTTGTAGTTTAAATTTGTTCACAGAATTTTAATGCATTTCACAACAATTTCTCCAAAATTCACTCCTAACAATGTTTGTTTCAGAGAGGAAGCGGGAACTTTGCTGTTCAAATACTGAAGATGCTGCAAGCATAGTAACTACGAAACTTTGTTTCTTTTAGAAAATTGATACAGACGTGAAAAAACACGTAACAAAAGCAAAGCACGAAGTTCAAGCAGGTTTTCTTTTGAGAACTAGTTGTTCATAGAAAGTGTAAAAATCTGAATTGGAGCAAAAAACCGAACACCGACGGCAACCTTGTCGTATTTTCTTACTCAATGATAGTTTTGTCAGTTTATTAAAAAAAGTATCATGACATGCGAGCGATATTTTCATTTTGTGGCTGAAATACATATGTATACCTAAGTATATATTGTAGATTATAAGTTTTTTTATATCTAAAAAATGTAATCAATCTGTACCTATATTGTAAATATGTAAATAATGATTTAATCTGTACATATACTGAAATAGATTGTTGTTTGTTAATAAACATTAGACTAAATTTTATTGTTTGGAATGTTTAATCAAATTGAATTTTATTTTCTTTTACGACTAGAACAAAACAAAACAGTTCTTTTAATTTTATAAATCGCATCTAATATATGGATGCTGATACGTTGCTATGGCTGATAGTCCAATGTCCGCTAATGGTAAAAGAACACATCGATATTGAAATAGTATATTGTTACTCGAGTGAGAAAATTGGTATTTTTTCACGAGATGAAAATTTACGAAACGAGCCAAAGGCGAGTGAAGTAATTCATAACATTATACTTTTTCCTATCATAGGAAGGCAAACGTTTATTTATTTATAAATATATTTAAACTTTCATGATTAATAATGGAAAATGGAGCTGAATTTACATCAAATTTTAAATTTTTATTTATACTAGTGTACTAGAATTGGTGTTATAACTAGTATTCGTGCTAGAAGACTGCTGAACAGCACCATGAATCTTCTGTGCAGAATTTATTTTGTTCTTCAAGGAGTCGTCAATGTAGCCCTCTGTGCCGGAGGTTGACTTCCAACCCCCATGCCTTTTTAATGCGGTAATACGTACTTGCGCCAGCGTCTACGAGCAAGGTGGCGCTGGATCTGCGGAAACTGCGACCGGCAAATTTGTTTACTCCATTTCTTTGGAAGGTATATTTACCTTTTCAAAAGTTCACAAAAAAAGTTGTTAAGAACGATGGCAGGTCGAAGATTCAAATATTTTTTTACAACTTCATAGAGCTCCCACTAGTTACCGTAAATGTTGTTGCAGTTTTTGTTTCAGTGACTGGCAGTGTCACCAGAAAAGTTGTATTTAGATCCTTAATATCATTCACCTTCATATCGTAGAGTTCATTAGTACGACAAGTACCGGCTGTCCCCATTATTAAAATAACCTAAAAATTAGAAAAATATTATTAAATTAACGAATGCACTCACTTATTCAAACCCTTGTTGCCAAGTGTAACTCATTTGCAGCTTTGTTTACGAATTCTTTAATTTCTGCAGATGTGAACGTTTTCGGTTTTTTGCTTGATAATTTTCAGATTGGCGTTTTAAAAATCCTTGAAGTTGGTGATATGTTTCAACATGAGTGTCATGATGAATGCTGATAGTTGATTTCAGTATTGAACAGAGATCATAACGTGGAGGACTTGGATTTCTTTGCTTGCTTGGTGAAGTATACCAGGAGAACGTTTTCCGAGAACGAACATGTCTTTTTTTGAGAAACGCCTTGTAAGCCATGTCATATTTCTTTCTGGATTTTGCGGGAAGTAAATCAAACGTCGTTATTTTTGCTGCCTCTGTGAATGTTTGGGGGTACAGTTTTCGTTTTCTTCGTCTTGATCACACATTACGTTGTCTAAACAGTACCACCAGTTGTTTAAACGCAGAACGCAAATTATTCTCGAGCTCGACTGTCAAATTCTTTTCATAGCAACGGACCATAACAACGGAGGGATTCAATTATATTAGAGGTGAGGTAGAGTAGTAACGATGGAGAAATGAGATTGTTGCTTTCTGATTGTATGATGGAAGTTGAGAAAAGCTGCATTTTCTACATCGATGTAAAAATGTTGATTTTTCTCCATCAAAGACGGGATAATAAGAACACTTTTTCTACATATGATGGGAAAAACATTATTATCATGAGATTTTGTCAGGAAAAATTGTATCACGCATAGTATTCGGTTTGACTATTTCTTGAAAGGAAATATAACCAATTTTATTATATTGTAACGTGACATTTGATTTTACGCGGCGGCGCAGCTCTGCGGGAGCGACGAGCGACGAGGCGAAAGAAAAAGAGAAAAAAAAAAAAAAAAAGGAGAAGAGAGAGGCGAGGTTGGGTGAAGACGACGAGGGCCGGTGTCGAGGCTTTGGGAAGGAGACCGTGTTTGGAAAGACGAGAAAAGGGCTGAGGCGAGAACACCAAAGGCCAACGGAGTCCAGGAGAGGCACAGGAAGCGAAGCTGACCTCAACAGGACCGCGGAGACGGGAACGGGCGTTCTGCATATTGGTACCAATACGGTAAGTCGCCGGGAAGTGCGCGCCGATCGCCGGGAAGTGCGCGCCGATCGCCGGGAAGTGCTCGCCGATCGTCCGGGAGAAACCGGGTGCGTCCCAGTTTGCGTTGTGCCAGTTTTTTTGTTTTGCCTCCAATCGTCACGGGTCGCCGGTTCACCAGGGTCATCAATCCACCTACCAACGAGCTGCTGCCGCCCCCCCCAATTTATATTATTTTTTTGTATATAGAATCCAGATTATATACGTGATTAGACCGGGTATTTGTTGCTTCTCCCTTTTTTCCCTTTCCTTCCTTTTCTTCTCTTTATTCTAATTATTCCACTCTTCGTTCTTTCTCTTCTTCGGGTTTCCTGTCATCTTTCTTTTTTTCTGTGTGCCCTCTTGTGACACACTGGCGCCCAAGGTCAAAACAGTCGAACGACCCATCACCCCGCAACGACGAAGGAGCTAGCCTGGCCGTGAGAAGGACGTCACACAAGAAAATGGCGCCCAACGTGGGGCTTTGATTCGAAGCTTTAGGGTGTAAAACTTTGATGCGAGTGGTGGATTTTGTTGAGTTGTCGGGTTCTTTTCTTTTTTCTTTTCTTTCTACTTCTTTTTCTACGCTCTATTCTGTCCGAGAAGCAACAATAATAATTAGTATCTTATTAGATCTAGATAGTGCGCATTTTTAAGAGGTCTTGTATCGTAGGGTTACATAATGGCCAGTGCAAGCTCCATTTATGACATGGAACCGAACTTTCTCAAGGTCAACGAAATCGACTACGAGTTGAGGATACGAGGAGTAGCTCGCACAGACCGTGTCGACGTTGACACAAAAAGGAAGAATTTGAGGAGAAGGCTACGGGAAGATCAGGCACGGCCCAATATTGTTTACACTACGTCACAGTTTGTGTTTCAAGACGAAAAGAAGGAAGTTGACGCCACGATAGCGGAGATACGAGAGTTGTTGAGGCAATTTGACGGATCTCGGGTAGAAGCAAACAGGAGGTTACAGACCAGGATCAACCACGTGTTGGGAAGAGTCAGTAGGTTTTGTGCAGACCCCGCCAGCGTTGAAGGTGAAGAATCCGCAGCGTATAAATTGGACAATACGTTGATCATTGTAGCATTCGATGAAACACGTTTAGAGATATTGGACCAAGCCAACTTACCGGGAGGTTCAGGTAGCGCAGATGTACAAGGAGCTATGCACAAAATAGCACCAGTGTACAAATGGGGAATTACGTTCGATGGTAAATCAGTGAGTTCCTTTCTGCAGCGAATTGATGAACTTAGAAGGGCGAGAAGTACGTCGAAAGAAGAGTTGTTCCGATCTGCCGTAGATTTATTCCAAGGTCAAGCGCTAATATGGTACCGTTCAATCAGAGATTCAGTGCACAGTTGGGATTCGTTAGTACAGGCTTTGAAGCGAGATTTTTTACCACCCGATTACGACGAAGAATTGTGGAGAGAGATTCGTAGCAGGACACAAGGTTAC